GTTTTTTCGAGGAAAACTTTAACGCCTCGGAGCGTTTGTTCGAGGGCCGGGAAGTGTTTATTCCAAATGGGTCTCTAGATGGGGAGCTTATTCTAGGGGCCGTTATCCGAATAAATAATCTCGTCCGTCACAGCCTGTTTATGTTCATAATAAATATTGTTGTAATTTTATGAGCAATGACTTTTCTCAATGTAATTTCCTTTTGGACAAATAAATGTGAATTGGAATGAATTGAATAATAATAATAATATAAAAAGATAATGCTTTTCTACATTCTCTCAGTTGTCAAAATGTAATTCTGTAATATAATTTCATCGATAATAGTTAGAACATGTCCGTAAAGAAAAACGTTTGCAAGGTTCTTGTGAAGTTATAGGATCAATCGTCGACCAAGACGTTTGCAAAGAGTTTACTGGTGTCAGCAAACGATTCAGCTATATGTGCAGAACTGAGAAGGGAAAAAAACACTCGATTTTAAAGCCAGGCTCCAGATAAACAAACATTTATATATGTTGTAGTACTGATTTTTTTTAAGACAAAAAAAAAAAAACATGATTTGCCGAAAACTCGGGAGCGGTTGAGAGACAGATTTTTTGTATTTATTTGTACAACTGATTTTTAAGACACAAAAAGCATATTCGAAAAACTCGGGAGAAGCTGAGATACAGATTTTCTAATATTTATAAACTGGGCGGAGAATGGGTGGTTACGCCCCTTTTCCCCCAGTTTTTAAATATTAAAAAATCTGTATCTCATTAATCGCTTCTGAGCGGAGCTTTGCTTTAAGATATACATACAAAGGTGGTAAACCTAATTTAGACTATCGAGATATCTTAATATATACAGTACCTCAGACCAAGCTTATTTTTGGCGTGGTCCTGCTTGAGTTTTCGAAGAGCTTCGTCACACACTTATTATATCGGCCCAAGAATGTGCATCTGTAGGCGACTTTAAGCCTATTTTAAAAGTAATTCTTTAAATTGCCAATATGTACTACTGCTTTCAAAGTTTCTTAACTCAATAAATACATAACAGGTGCTGTTTTGGAAATAAGATTTAACGCGTCGTTGGCTTAACTTTTGACTTAATAATAAGCGGTATAATAAGCAGTGTTCTTGTGTTGATAAGGCAAAATCTGATGCTACGCTATGCAAACGTCATTGAGGGCGCTATAATATTTCTTGCTTACCATAATGTGTATTAACTAATAATTGTTTATACAATACTGTAACCTTGAATAACGGCATTGACCTAGTAAAATAAGTCATTACCTAATAATTATTTGGTTTTTATAGGCTTTTAGCATAGATATTTTTTAAGCATTTCTGGCTTCGCTAAAGAACATCAATTCAACAATACATTTTACCAGAAGTTAATTAAGGATTTAGATAATTCACGAACAAGATATTTGGTTATAATGTATTAGTATTATAAAATTTCAATTAATGTGAATATTATTTTTTTGTGATTATTTATTTAGAGATAATATAGCGATGTTGGTAGCTTGGTACACGTCATAATTTCAAAATTATTCATAAATTTATGCCTAGATGTTCGCAAATATGCAATTGTATGGAGGTACTATATATTCTATAACTACATATAGAAACGCATGACGCTATCTTATAAAATTTTGATTTTATTTATTTTGTTAGAATTTGTATAAGGCCAACAGTGATTGATGTCAATAGCCGTTTTGTGAGCATGGGCGGAGGAATTCCCGTTTGAAATCATAAATGAATAACAACAAGCCAACATGCTGTCTGACATGAATTCACACAACATCTGCCACACTAATTCCGTTCCTAAAAACGGTGAATACACAATATCTATTGTTTTCGACAGCCGTAAATATTCTTTCAGATATGAAATGCCCAGACATACTGGCTACCAAGTTGCTAGAATGTCTCCCAACTTGCTCCGACACTGCCATCTATAGCTTCTCTGAGTATCATTATGAATATCTATATAATGGTCTGAATTCATTTGAAAGGCAACGGCGCATGTTACAATAAGATAATCACGTATTACAGTTGTTTTATTTTTTTTCGAAAATCCAAAAGAGTTGCTAGTCGCCATCGAATAAGCTTCGACGATTGTTAGCACTAAATCTGGTTTAGTTCCGGTCAATGTTTAGTTCGATGACGAAAAATAATTATTTCATTGCGCAAAAATCTGCATTTTTGTAATTTGCGTTTTATTGAGAATGAAATGCCATCAATCATCCCTTACAGACGCTTAAATATTAATTAATATTA